TATTTTGGTATGAAAACAATGATTTTAATAGAACTCTTTCGTGCTCTCTCAGGGTTTCTTCAGGCGTAGTCAGCAGAGTAACGCCACCTACTCGTGTCCTCGCCAGAAAAACTGTCTGATCGACCGAACGAGCCGAAACCGCTGCCAGCACTGCCGTCTGCAGAAATGTCTCACTGTGGGCATGTCCCGAGACGGTGAGGCAAACACATGCACAGCAGATCTACACGTTACGAACATATCGAACCCACCTCTGTGTCCAGAATCACCCTGAAGTACAACAACTGTGTGCTATATGTGTATGTTAACCCCAACCCTGACTCTGATCCAGTAAATTCATAAAATGTAAATGAAAAATATATATTTGATATAGGGATGCAACGATACCAAATTTTTCAAACCTATACTATACCGATACTTGGATCTGAGTACTTACCGATACTTCTACTACACACACACACACAAAAAATGCAATGAATTGGAAGACAGTTTTATTTTATTCTCTAAAATAATAATAAAAATGACCACAAAAATAAAGTTTCAAGTGAAAAATAAGTACTTCTGTTAAATTATTGAATTACAAGTCTCCACATTGTAATTCAACAAAATATCAGTGAACTATTTGGCTCTGTCTCCAGCTTTCAGAATAATAAATAAACACTTCTGTTTGGAATAAAATCAATAAATCGTTGCTTTTCCAAAACCCGAGTTAAAGTTGGCTGTTCTGGTCTTGCATTAGCCTTAGCGAACTCGGTGCATGATGTGTCCTCAGATCTTTTATTAAACTGCTTGTATTGAACGATTCCCTCCCCTGGACACCTTACCGGCCTTGCTTCTGTCATCTTCACATATTATAGGTAAGTCCACAGGGCTGACCTTTTGTTTAGCCTAGCTACAGCAGCCTCCAGTTTGTTTTTTTTATCTAGACCCGCCAGCCTCACTCGCCTAACCCTGCTCTTGTTTAGCACGACATGTCCCCCCAGCGGCCAATCTAAAAAATTACAACAGAAATGACAAGCCACCCTCTGACTCATGAAATAAGTTGGTATCGGTTAACTTTTACAAGTATGAGTACACACACGTTATACCGTACCGGCCTGATACCAATATTGGTATCAGTGCATCCCTAATTTGATATCATATAGATTTTTTATGTTGTTATTACATGAAAAAACTTTTGTTTTAGACTAGAAAAGCACTGCATATGAACCAGTGTAGGATATGATATAGTTTCAGTGTCTGTGTAATTTCTTTCTGTTTTCTACAATGAGATGTTCTGTAATGTTGGACTCATGTCTGCAGCATAAAGGTGTAGATTTGAAGACGGCTGTTCGATCAAAGATGCCACGCCCCTAACTTCAATATTTAGGTGAATGAGAAATTTCAAACAATCCCATCTAGAATATTACTCAAGGCTGACGCTATCCACAGTTAACATGGGCGTCTGTTGGGACTGACTTGCTCTCACGAGGTCTCTGCTGGATTGTAATGGGTGAAATGTATGAA